AATGAATGATTCCTTAATCTAATTTTCTCCCTTAACATTTGCTTGCTTTTCTTTATCTTCTGGATCTTCCTTTGCTCCCCCTTTTCTGTCTTTTTCCTCTGAAAATCTGAAATCTGTCCGTTGCTTTTCAGTCAAATACCACCTTTATCCCTTTTGGTGAAAGAATCTTTTGAAATTAAAAACTTATAACGTGACATATCTATATACTAGTTAATGGACCGCTGGAAACTTTGAAAAGGGTCCAAGCCCATTGATAATAAGGAATATATTACAAGAATATTCCCCTTTACCTCATCTATAAATACTCACATTTGGGTGGTAGAGAGTAAGTTCATTCTACTCCCTTCTTATCTGATAAGTTTCATACTCTCACTTCTGGGACTAACTTATTCGTCGAAGTGCTAATCCTTATCTTGCATATCTTAGGTCTATGGACATCGATGCACTCTTTATCCCGACGAATTTGACCTTCATCAAGCATGAAACAAATCCAACTCATAGACGTATCATTTGTCTTTATAATGCTTTCGATCTGTACTCGATTTAATCAAGTAAATCATTTTCGACAAAAATAGATTGAAATAAATCCAACTTATAGATTGTCCCTTAAACACTCCAAATAGTTTTACATATTTTGGTTTCTAAGAGAAGAGTCATATTTTGTTTCTTTTTTTTTGTGTTTTTAGTTATTTTTTTGTATTGGAAATGTAAAAAGGTGTATTGGAAATGTGAAAAGGAATGCTGGGATATGACAATTATTATTAAAATAATCTGAAAAAAAACCATCCAAAAAACCAAATAAACAGAGCCTAAATTTTCTCTTTTTGAATTGTGGAATCTTTACTATACTATTATATTATATTGATGAATGGAAATTATTATTTAACGGTGCAAGTATCATTGCCTTGTTCTCTCCTAGAGAAGTCTACACGTTTGTGGCTAATCTTAAAAAATTATCATCTATTTTTCAAGCTGGAAGGAAGATTAATTGTGTTGAATGTCGAATGTCTCAAACACGGGGTTACACGGCTAGAGAAAATGATTTCAGGCATCCAGTCTTTCACTAATTAATCATCTTGCATGGTTCAGAATTCTTAAACTCAGAGAAGCGGACAAGATTACGCTTAATATAGTTCAACTGTTCCCGTAGAGGCGTAGATATATTAGTTGATTTCTTATTAAAACCAGTTTAATCTCTCTTGTAATTTGCCATTTCGCCTCCTTTCCAGCACGATTAAGGAATCTTTTTGAAATCCATTTTAATCAAACGAATGACAAACAAAAACTAACAACTTAGGTGGCATCACTTTGAGAGCATTAAAAGTCAACAATTTGACTTACCAAAAGCCAGCAGGAGGGAATCAAGTCAATCAAGGAAAACAACCACCATGTTATGAGTCACATTACAGCAGTTTGTACTAAACAACAAGGGTTCAATTTGGCAACAAGTGTACAAAATTATGGCCTAAAAAGAACTGGATTTCCTTTTCAACTGTTCAAATGACAAACTACATAAAACGTTCCCTTTCAACTATAAAGGTACAATTTATAGGTCAAAATTTTATATTGGGACGGTACCGTTGAAATGGACATGCAAGGAAATCTTATCAAATAAGGTGTTTTTACTAATTAAAACATCACTATCAAATGCCATCTTTAGTGTACATTTGAGACATTGTCGATTTGAACTTTGAAGTATTAGCAAGAACAATTCATTTATGAGATATCAGCACTCCATGAAAAAATTTAAGATGAAATTAACGATAATCAGAAGAAGCTTATTGCTATTTATTGTTATTCATATATTTTTATTTTTGCATATTTGGAAGAAAAAACCTAAATTTGAGAGGAACTATAATAATAGTACTAAAAAGATTTCAAAATTTAACCAATGTGGTTGTGGTAGAGTAGAAGGGACTCCTCCACCCTTAATCATAAGTTGAGGGTTCGAAACTCGTCATGGGCATAAAACAATCTTAAATACTTTGGCCAGCTGTTTCATCCATTGAAGTGCCTATTATTCAATGAGTAGATTAGTCACCGACACGGTGGACATGAAAAAAAAAAAAATAAAGATTTCAAAATTTTTGGGTTCAGCCTTTCCAGGTGCAGTTTTTATCTTTCAGATCACATACTGGGCCCTTTTTGTTGGGCTCCTCTAGGTTGGTATCGTAGTAAGTGATATCAAGACAGAGCTTTCAAATGGGTCCAATTAATTTTATTCTCGTCTTTTTTTAACCTTCGATTTTCCTAGTATTATAAGATAAAAATAAAAAAAATCCATTGGAGCTATATATTCTGAGAGTACGCTATTTTGTAAACCAAGATGTCCGGATCTCCAAGTATTCTTTTTTTTTTTTTTTACAAAAAAAAGGTAACATAAAATAAAACGTGTCACTATTTATTAACAATGTTAGTATCAAAATGAAATCACGTCTTCAAATGAAGAAAAAGCTAAAACCTCTGAGACCCAATCATTCAAGCCGAGGAACTATCCATCGTACATAATTTGCACCAAAACCTCATTTGGATAGACTCTCCCCGTCTGAAAAAGATAATTTGACAGTTATTTTTTTTTTTTTAAAGAACAAAGGGAATACAAAAATGAAGAATCTTTTCATCCATTTCTTGAGCTTCGATCTTAAATATAAATGGTAAACATTGCTCAACCGTATGACAAGCATTAGTAAAAATAAAAGCTCATAATCAGCTTTAGCCTTTAGGGATACGCTCACATAAGCTTTTAAGGAATCAAATGGCACAATGTTTTAGTCAAAGTGAGAGGTAATAAGGATCTGCCAATTTGCTAAACATTGTCCATTTTTAGGACCTCATCAGCATATTGCATCTATTCTCTGAGTGGAGAATAAAGGAACTTACATAGTTGATGTGTATATATATCACAATACTCCATCCATGTTAATTAATTCTAATAGGTCTAGTAATGTTGACCACATGTCTTCTTGAAGAAGGAGAGACGATGGAATATCATCATCTACCTTATGTTCCTTGTTTTTTTCCTGGATGAAAAATGATTTTCCAATCCATGTGAAAAAACATAGTACATCTCTGAAACATAAGCTCCAAAATTAACTACTCCATCCGTCCCAAAATTATTGTCCAGTTTAGATTTTTATTTTTAGTTTAAATTGTACTAAAAGAAAAATTTCAAACTGAACAATAATTTTGAGACGGAGAGAGTACAAGTTACTTTGAAGATGTTATCAGCTTTATATATACAACAAAACCGAAAACGAAAGTTAAACAATTGTCGAATAAATTTAAGGGAAATCTTTAGTTTAACACACCATACCTTATTTTATGCGGTTCCTTTAATTTCTAGCTTCGTTTTCAGGTGAAAGGAAATATCCTTCTCATCGTCGACTTTAGTTGTACCTGAAAATGTAGTGCATGCTTTTGGATGAAGTTTATAGATACTCCATACGGAACTTTATTTTATGAGAATTATTTTTATTTTTATTTTATTAGGCCAATCAAAAGCTCAGGAATTAGGATCATGATGACAAACTGCAGTGAAGTAGAAGACGTGGCTTTCCCCCAAGTAAAGAGGAATTGCAGAAAGCCCTCAACTGTACTTTTTCTTCTGTCCTCTTTTATAACATTATTATTATCTTTTAATACCTTAGAGGCTGGCCGGTCCTTGTTTTTTCCTTTTTTCTTTCACGGGGGCTAATTCGTGTCAGCTGGGATTTTGGAGAACTTGTAGTGGTACTGCCACCGAAGATCTTGTATTCCATTAACGAGGGAAAATAGGTCTTTTCATCCCAAAGTTTGGGTCACACTATTCAAAACATCCCAAAGTTTAAGAACATGTCATTTACATTCCAAACTTTTTAAAAACATGTTACATTAGGATATTCGTTAAATTTTTAACTCCAGTTAATTAATTAGTGGTGGTACTTTATTCTGTTTCTCTCCCCCAATTCTTTTAATCATTTAACACGTTCCACTAACTCCCACCTTATAGGAAAACAGCTAAACCTAATTTGGTTTTCACATCATTCATTCTTCCCTTAATTAAAAAAAGAAAAAAAAAATCCAAAATTCACCTTCTAGATTGATAACAATAATGAGAGATTTTGTGTGTGTCCTAATTAGAAAGTAAGCCATATTTCATTTATTTTTTTAAATATGTAGCATCATTATAAAAATTGGTGTTGTAATTGATTCAGGGGCATGCAACTTTTTTGCTTGACATGGACCAAATTTACCAAACGCAAGCATGAAACTTTTTTGACTAAAAAAAATGGGAGAAAAGAAACTGAATGAAATATCGCCGTTAATAATTTGAAAAAAATTAACAAATGTCCTAATATTACATATTTTTGAAAAGTTTGGGATGAAAATGGCATGGTTTTAAACTTTGGGATGTTTTAGATGGTGTGCCTCAAACCTTGGGATGAAAAGGCCTATTCTCCCCCATTAACAATCAAAATAGGAATATTTCTTATAAGAATTTCCCCCAAATGCCCAAATGTTTAAAAATGATGACTTTATCTCAAAATAAGAATTCTTATTTTTATGTTTTATTAATTTTACCTTTTATGCGTAAGATATCTATCCTACGGAAAAAAACAAAAAAAGGAATAATAACTCATCAACCTTAAATTTTAAACATTGCGATATCGTGATTCACTATAATAATTTATATATAAGGAATCTCCAATTTCCGCTTGGGACCTCATTTGGGACAAGTTACCTCCAACTATACTTTAAACTTTAAAGCTTGAGAAGCAATTAGAGTAGGCTTCAGTTCGCCCATATTGAATCTTAAGATGCATGAACTTGAGTTTTGGGTTAAACTACATATTTTATCAGTATTTAAAAAAGGAGTTGGACCATGATTCCAATTTTAAATAAATTGAAACACGAAACCTCATTTGCTGTGACTGTGAGTGCATCATTTTGGTCTTTTGAAGAATAACCAGTAGCTTGATTATCGGAAAATACGAATGCGCCTTGAAACCAAAACTGTGTTTTCCCACATATGTACTAATCAAGCTACGTCCAAGAAACTAAATCATAAACAACGAAATAGACATAGGAAGCTATAAGTTATTATTCTTTTTGTTTAAAATGATACGAGAATAAATTTTTTTTGAGCAGAATAAGTACAAACTCGCTCTTTAGTGCAAATAATGCGTAAACTTATGAGCAGAAGAAGCCATGGAGAGCTATTTATATGGTTTATCTTTTTATGTGCGGGAAAGAAAACCCTTGGAGTTTCTATGGGGATTAGGTTATTAGATGCCTTCGATCTTACTCATACTACAGTAATTGGAGGGATGTTTTACTGTCCCTAAGAAGAATAAAAAGCCTAAAATTTTCTAAACGACAAACCAAAACAGAAAAGTGCTACAACAGGTTATACTCTTCTTTACCTTTGGATTTATAGTCTCTTCAAAACCTATTGTTAGTCTAAAAATCAATATGAAGTCCGTTTTAAAATTCATTTTAAGCAAAGTAGTAGTGATGCATGTAAAAAGTAAATAAAAACGGTAACATTCAACTCAAGTAGTGATGCATGTAAAAAGTAAATAAAAACGGTAACATTCAACTCATCATGCATGTATCTTGATTCTTGAACCTATAACAATAGTGGACTAAGTTACCAACCATTTTCCTTCCCTAAATTATTCTGGGGCCAAAGGGAGTATAACCAAAGAGATTGAACCAAGAAGATCGACAAGTTGTCATAATTAAATTGCAAAAACAGTAACTTCGAAGCGACTAAAAAACCATTTGATTGATGATAATCGGAAAAGAAACTTTGCACCATGCAAACAATGCCGCCAATAAGAATACCATCAAATGCATGAACAAACAGGACTTGAATCATCAGGTGATCGGTAAGGATGGAGATCGTTGACCAAGGATTTGCCAGATAAGAGGACTCATCAAGAATGTCAACTTCTCGTGCAACTTGATAAAACTTTTTTAATAATGAAAAAATATATATATTTCTGAATTGCTTCTTTGGATAAGCATTGGACTCTTTTTGTTTTTTCTTTAAAAAAGTGGGGGGAATTCAAAATAATCAAAGATGGGATTTGTTAATTAAAATTAGGTACTACATTAATTCATGCATTGTATTATTGAGAAGACAAGTAACATCAATCATGAGGTAATCAAGTGCAATGTAACGCCTCTGAAAAAACTGGAAAATGGCCATTTGGACAACTTGCCATGGTTTACTACCAGTACTTCTGAAACCAAATTTATGTGTGTGTGTGTGTGTGTGACAGATAGAGCAGGAACTAGGAAGGAGAAGAAGCATGGTTTTCAGTAAAAAAAAAAAGAAAAAAACCCAGATGGGATCAATTTCCCAAAAATATAGTAGTACCACAAATCTGAGCTAAGATGCATCAAAGATTTCAGCAAAAACCAAACATTAATGCATGTTTGCTCGTGTTTTAGGAAAACCATAACTTGACAACTCATCCAACAAAAAGAATCCGTCCCAGAAACACCTTTAATTGCTAAGAGCGTTTCTTACTATCCTAAATAAAAAATTGTCTTGTGTATGGAGAAAGAGAGTGCATCAATATTTGGAGCAATGCAACATATACCCCCAAAAATTCCCGTTATACTTCTATGTTTTTGGTTAATATTATATCAAAGAATTAACTATATACATTATTCTAACCTTTAGTTAAAAGAGAGAAATATGAAGTAGTGAGCAAGCAGCTTCTACATATGCCTATTCGTATAGGATGAACAAACTTGAAGAAGTTAACAAAGAGATAGTGAGCAAACATAATCAATTCTGCAAGAATATGTATGAACAAAGAACAGAATCAACATTTTTCTTTTTTTGGACTAATTTCTCTCAAACCATTTCTAACAAAAGAGAGTGAAGAAAAACAGTAATTAGAAAGGGCACTATTAATTTCCAAAATAAAACTACAATGACTCCCCACATCCCCCTCCACTCCTCCAAAAAGAAGAAGAAAAAACAACAAAAAAAAAAAGAAAAAACTCCTAATTGACTGAACCAACAACACTAAAGAGAGAAGAAAGAGGAGAAGAAGAATGATCATCAAGTAATACAACTTAAAACTTGATTATTAATTAAAATTGGAAGCCTCTCACCTTTCATTTCATATCATCATTCAGCAAATCCTATTTCTCCTCAGAACAACAATATCTTAAACCGTCTTCCTTCATTTCTCCTAAAACTGAGGACGAACCGGCGTATTTCCATTCCAACCATCCACCGGCAGCTGAGGCATGTTAAAGAAAGGTAGCCCGGAAGACGGGTCGGGAAAAGGGTTCATTCCTCCTCCTCCTCCACCACCACCACCACCGCCTCCTCCGCCGCTACTAGCGCCGGAAGCTTGCGAAACCGGCGGCTGAATCTGAAGCTGCTGCTGCTCATCTTCATCCAACGGCAACCTCTCATAAGCAACATTCGTAAACGAAGAAGCAATTACAATAACCGGCCCGGCAGCGGTCAACTCCCCGACCACACTCCCACCAACTACCTGCCCTTGACCACCAGCTAAAAATATGGTCAAACTGGTGGCCCCCGGCGGAGCTGGCGGTGGGAGGAAAGAACCCGAAAGCGACAAAATCTCGAACCTCCCGTGCAGCGTCACCACCGCACCGGCAGCCGTCGGCTGCCGGAGGCTGACGTTCGTGACGGTCCCGCTGCCGCTGAGGACGCAGATCCCACGCTGCCGGCGGCGGGCGTAAGTCGCCACGCATTCGAAGACGTCGCAGCCGTTTCCGACTTCCAAGATATGGGCCCGCAGGGTGTTGGCACTCTCCCGGGTTATAATCACCGGCGGTTTGGGCTTGTTCTTGGAGCCCGGCGGGCGTCCCCTGGGCCTCCGCCCGACGATGTCGCCTGGGCCGGGCTGGTGGCCGCCGCCGCCGCTATCGTCGTTGTCGTCGTCGTGTTGATCGGCGTATTGACTGGTTTGACTGCTTTGGAGGTGCAGATCAGGGCGGTGAAGTTGTTGAACATAGCCTAAATCTAGTCCAGCCATATTGTTAACTATTTCACAACAAACATCAAAAGTTGGGGAGGAATTAAACAAATTAACAAAAACCCACAAAACCAACGAAAATTGTTAAAAAAATGGTACTATTATCAAAGTGTGAAGCTTTAAAAAAACCAAAGAGAGAAATCCCAACTTTTTATTTCTTTTGTTGGTTTTTTGGGTTATAATTTTTTATGGGGTTTGAAAGGAAAAAAGAATAGATAAAAGATGGTGTGTGGAACCGAACCCTAGATTTGAGTAGAGATTAGAAAACAAGGTTTTTTTTTTTTTTTGTTAAAGATTTGAGTTCAGAGGAAGGGAAAGAAGGAAGGGAGCTGAGGAAGAAGAAAGAAAGGAAGAAAGAAAGAGTGAGCTGCAGGTTTGGGGGGACAAGACAACGACTATAAAAAAATAAGTTGGTCATTTCTCTCACCCTAAGAGCTTAAATATTGGTATTAAATATTGTTGAAGCTGAAAAAAATAATTTTTTAATAGAAATTATTAATTTTTTTTTGGTAAACAAATAATTAAAATTTTGAGTTCAGCTAAAAGCTCATTTATTAGTGGTGGTAGCCTGTCATTTGTGTAACCATTGAGGGTTTCTAAAAGTTACCTTCGGGGGCTATTAGTGTGGATGTGGTGATCGAAAGTTGATAAGTAGGTTGTTGTGATAATATTTATAGTCCGATAAAGAAATTATTCTATCGAAATTGGATTGAGAAGTTATGATTCTTCTCACTACACTAAAATTTACAAATTTACAAACTAGTTTTATGTTTTAGAAGGCTTCAACTATTATTTCCATTAGTTTTTAATTTAATTTAATTTTTTTTTGATAAAACGTTTGATTGTACGTAATAAACTGTAATATGTCCCGCAAATATTTATTAAGTCATGAATCAATTATTATTTAAAAGTTCATTCACCCAAATAGTTATGACTTATGACATTTACATTAATCATAAAGAAGTCAAGGACATGAATCACTTGGTGATTACTGATGAATTTGATGCAGTCCTGACTGATAGGATACTGCTACTAATGATAATAAAATCATTTACATCTTGGTATTTAAATTTAGATACGACACAAACATTTAGGGCATCTTGGATGCACCCCACCTCAAAAATATTTTTTCCTTCACTAGTTAAGAGTCTAACCGTCAGTGCAGCATGATTTGAGAAGTGTGTCGTTACAATGTTTTAGCAGATTAATAATATTATTAGGTGTATAAATTGTCTAATAATTCTTTTGTCCTATAGGAAAATTTCTATATGCTCATAGATCAAGTTCGTGATTTGACTTTCATTCGATTATTCCTTATTAGTGTATTTATTTAATTAAGGTTTTAAAAAGTAAATGTGGTTGTACCATGTTAGAATAATTTAGATGGAAACTGACAATTTAAAAAGCTATAGTATCAAATTATGGAGCAAGACCTAGATCAACATCCTAAAAATAGTAAAATTGACAAATAAGAAATCCTAATTCATATTAACACCTCCTCTATTAAATTAGTATGCAAATATAGAAGATGTTTATCGAGCGCGTGGAGAGAAAGGAAATGAGGGTTTGACAAAAGAAAATGGAATCCTTATAGAAACAGCTTGTAAAGAGAGTAAAAGAAGACTTTGTTAAAAGCTAGCTGGCTAAGGTACCATTTGGATTATTAAAAAGATTATAAATATGCAGCCCTTTTTTTATTTGATAAAATAATAGGAGTATATGATTTTATTGGATGAAGGCTTTCTCGGTATGCATAAATCATTTGTTATTGGATTCTCTGTTGGGAAAATTTTCCGAAATTTTATAATATGGATTGGTCGGAAAAAATATAATGGAAGTAAAATAGAGGATGCAGATGCAAGAAAGTAGAATAATGACAAAAATATATGCTATAATTGGCATGTTACATTTTTCAAATACTAATATTTTAGGGTAGCTATAAAGTACTACTACATCAGAAGATATAACTTCAAATCATTTGGCTACAGTAAAAAGAAATAGTTATTATTTATTGTTGTTTTTTCTTCTCGTCTAAAATAATGAAAAGAAAAGAAACTGAATTGATATGTCAACGATGCCACTGAAAATAATTTATTCTTAATTTCTAAAGGAATGTCTTTCTTGAGTATATAAATTGTTATATAACTTGTTTAAAATAATAGCTAATAAAAAAATGATTCCAGACCACTTCTTCTCCAGGTATATATATATAGCTCTGATCAGTTTAACTGAAATTGGAATGATGATTACGATTTACGCCTTTTTATTTTCTATATATATCCACTACCAACATGGATCATGCAATGTTTTCTAAGGAATTTACAAGTAGAGATTTTATAATGTTGTAGCTATTTGGCTTATATAAGATTTAAATTACTAGTATTTTGTGAAACCATAATTTTTATTGTAAGTTTTTCTTTTTGAATTACTTTCCCATGAGTTTGATCGCCCGAGCTCGCGATCACAATTTTTCATTCGAATCATCCTATCTAATTATTTTTCACTTTATATGCAGTAATTCATTCTTTTTTTATTTTATTTTTTGGTAATATTATATTTCATTCTTTTAAACTCATGTGATTGATGATTTGTTTTTATTATAGATTTTTTGGTTAACTGTTTTGATTTATTTATTTTTCCATTTGTTTGTGCCACATCATTTTTAAAACTATTTCACTATATGAAATTACTGAATCATCACTCAATTATGATTTAAGGGAAACCGACAATGTTTAGTGAATTTCTCTTTTGTCATCCACTTGCTGCTATTTTGACTATGTACGTAGGTACGTTGGTATATCCTCTCATGTGTCAAACACAAAATTCCAATACAACCCCAACTTGAAACTTTAATTTCTTGGACAAAATTGCGGCGAAGGACGTGCGAAGTTTCCAAATTCTTGAGGAGTGGTCATAGTCTTTGAAGTATTGCGTGAAAATGTAAAGAAAACAATTATTCTGAAACAAAGAAAGTATTATTGAATGAAAAAGAATGCATATTTTTAACGTAATTGTATATTTAAAATTTGCATTATTTAATTATTAACTCAATGATTCGATCTAGATTAGTTAAGATAGTATTTTCAAACAGTGTGTAAGCGAAAAAAAACTTTGTTGCTTTTGTATAGTGGAGCTAGCTCAAAGGCATGCATGAATAACCCCTCCAAAACGCTTTCCTTTCTTAGACATATACATGTCGTTTCCGTATCTGAACGGCTGGATAAATTCAGATGTAGCCCTAGATTTGAGTAACAGTGATATATTGAGAAGATGATATAACAAAACCGATATGCACGAAAAGAAGTTTTATTAGACATGAACATATGGTATATATAACCAAAAAAAAAAAAATGTAGCATATGATCTATACAACCTTCCTTCTTTATTCGGGTTTGAAATCAACAATTACAAACTCTTCAGGCCGGACTGAATAGAATGCCAAGTGTTAAATTAAACACATCAGATTTAGCAGGAGTTCGTTTTGAGAAAGAAAAACGAAAAGGTCGAAAACATGGATGTTAATCTTGGTGCACTATGAGAAAGATGTGAACTGGAATTTGGTGGATAAGCAGGATTCAAGGAATAGTTCACGAAAGACTACTACTACAAATATTTTATTTCAACTCATACGCAACAAAGTTCATCCCCCGGTTGCAATTTGCTCAAAGCAAAGCAAAAGAAGAAACCTGAAATTATGTTAGGTATTTTGTTTCACCAGATATCACAAAACAATTTTAAGCGAACACATATTACATTCAGATTAAGATAACAGAGTTTATGATTTGTTTGATAGGAGGATTAGAATCACCATCAGTAGATGCTAGCTTTGTCATCATCAATGGTGAGGAGAGAGATGTGTTCAAATTGGGGGGAATTAATTAGTGGGGTCAAAAAAACTTAAAATCAAACTACAAATCAGAATGAAGGAAATGGTATACTAGTACTATTGCTGGTTTTTCTTTTTTTCTTTTTTGTTTTGAGTCTTCTCTTTTTGACCAAGTTTTTATGCTACTAATAAGCTTGCTTGAATGAAGAAGGCTAAAAACAAAGTGCATGTGTCGACCATTAATTAAAAAATAAAATGGAGATTTTAATTTCAATGGGGAGGGAATGGCCAAGTGGGAAGATGGTGGTGCGGCGCAGTGGAACCCACCTTTTTGTCCTCATTCTTCCACCCTGGACGGCCCTCCCACCTCCTCTTCTTCTTCCTCCTTCGGGCCATCCCTCTTTGACTTTGACCGTATCATTCATTTCCCTTTTTTTTTTTTTTTCCAACCTTCGATAACTTAAGGGGCTTATATACAATAGCATTCCGATTTCATCTTACTTCTTCCGTCCTATAATTATTGTACAGTTTGAATTTTGATTTTTGGTTCAAATTATATTAAAATTAAAATTTCAAACTGAACAATAATTATGGGACAGAGGAAATATTTGCAATAGCCCGATTCTGGGTAGAATATAGGGTGTTGCGCATGCAATGCGTAGGCTTATTCTCTTAGAAATTAGAATTACTTCTTCGTTTATTTTGTGTACACACAATCACAATGTATTATTCACTAACAATGGGAAAAAAAAATGTCAGTTTTCTTGGGTCAACAGATACGGATTTACGTACTTAAGAATGTGTAGTCTCATACATTTATCCATTTTGAGAAATCCCGATTATTATAACTGCATTTTCCACTAGACTAATATTCAATCTGTACTTAATTCAACTGGGTAGAATATAGTAGAAGATTCGCTTCAGTTCGTTGGATGAATTGAATCTGATATGAAGACATCAATCTTCATAATTAAGGTCAAAACGTATCATTTTTATTTTTTTTTAAAACTCATTTCATCACTTTGAATACAAAATCGTGTCTCCTATTCAGCGGAAGAAAATTCCCCTTGAAAAAAGAAAAGCTCCAAATAGGAGGATCTTATGCCAGTCAAAAGATGGTGATTCTTACGGGAAAATTTCTCTTCGGAAAAAAAAAAAAAAACTTCCCTAGAAGGAAACATAGAGCAAGTTACGCACTTTTAAGTCCAACCCTTTCTTGCTCAAAGAAATAAAATGGAGATCATCATGTGAAACTAAAAAGTGATTGAACATTTCTTATGAATTTTAAAGTTCTTATAATCGATAAACAAAATTTTGTTTTATTTTTCGGGATATGGTTTGTCTTCTCAATATACTCCCTCTGGTCCTTATTATAAAGTATTTTGATTTCGACCTAGATTTAACTTAAGATATCTTTTTAGTGAGAAAAAAACCTTTAAAAATATATTTTCACATTCGTTGTGTTCTTTTAATTATTATAAATTATTTTTAAGATTTTTATTTCAATTAAAAAGACATCTTAAGTGAAACTTAGGACGAAATCAAAATGACTTATAATAAGGACCGGAGGGAGTATTATGAAT